ATGACACGCCACTCCTAGAAAGCTGTGAAGTGGGTTATCAGCTGCCCATTCCTGTCTTACTGATGACGGGGCAATCAGTGTGGGCTCTAATGCAAGAGAGCTTAAAATCAGCCATGGCAGCTTGCTTTCTCACTTTCCCTCTCTCTCTCTCTGTGTGCTCAGTTCAAGTTCTGGACCTGGCAACTTGCTTCCTCACTTTCTCTTTCGCTCTGTCTCTCTCTGTTCAAATTTAAAAATAACAACAAATGGAATTAAATAAATAAACAAATATTTTTTAAAAATCAGCCATGGCATAGTGGTAAAGAGTGACATTTCACAAGGAGAAATGGGGACGGGATGAGAGTGACCAGCTCCCATGGTGGGTGCTTTCTCGCTTTCTCCAGTTATCATACCTGCCCTCTGGCAAATTTTTTTTAGAAAAGAAAAAGAATCCAAACTAACAAGAAGCTCCAAGATAATCACAGAATTATTTAACAGCTCCAACATGGGAAGGTCCTGGGTTTGCGTCTGAAGACCCCCTCAGGGGCATGGCGGTGTCCGTCCTATGGCAGAAACTACTGAAGGCTGGAGGATTACAGCATCAAAGGCCTCCTTGAGTCACACTGGGCATGTGCATGCCCACGACCTGGGGCTGCTGGGACTGGAGTGCCCCAGGTGCACTCACATGGAGTAAATAAATAAACCTTAAGGTCAGTTTCCTTACTTTGCGTGGCCTTAAACCAAGGCACTTCTCTGAGCTGGTTTCCTCACATGTTCAGCAGCGCCATTCTGTGGTTCTGAAAAGCTCCTGCATGGGGCCAGTGTTTATTAGGAGAAGATGTGACTGCACTGCCCCCAGGTGACCTCCTTGGTTAGTGCTCCAACATCAAGCACAGACTGGAGCTGTCCCCTCACCTTTGACAGGGAACACAGGATAGGATCATCGGAGGGCCCAAGTGGACACAACACAATAAGCATTGATTACACCACTGAACAATTTCTTGCTGGACACCTAGGATTATTAGCTGCTCCTGGACCCCACAAACACAAGGAATCTGCCAACCCCCACATGAGACCTGCTTCTAAAGGTTCACCTACAAGGCAGTTAAGTCAAAATCTGGGGAGATGTGGCAAGGAGTGACAGCTCTCTATTCCCTTTTGACTGAAATAACTAATAGTCGGCCAGCGCCCCCACCCCTTTCTTTTGAGAGAGAGAGAAATTTTTGTTATAGGGCATATGTGCTCCCCAGAGAGAGAGACAGAAAGTGATAAATCCCCCCCCAAGAGGGATTTTCATGCCACATGCTCTTCTCTTCCATTCTCCTCTTGGGATTTTGGGCATGCACACACCTGTCATGAGTTTCCAGTTGCCAGATCCAAGACTCAAACCGTGGCCAACTACGTATGAGTCCAGCACCTTAACCACTATGCCTCCTGCTGATCCCAAACCTCCTCCTTTTATTTACCAAGGAAAGAGAGGCATAGCCTAGGCTTTAGTGCAAAGTCTCAGGGTGGAAGCTCTCCATCTGCCACTTAGCAGCCATGTGACAAGGTAAAAGAAGAGATTAAAGATCAGCTAGTCTTGAGACAAACTCTAGTTTGGAAAAACAAACTTAACACCTTCAAGGAAGCACGGTAAGAACTCTGATAAGAGGCATGAACCATGGGCTCAGAGTGAGTTCACTCACCTGGCAGTGCAGGAACAGGCATGGGAAGGTTTTGTGAAGGATTGAACTCATCTTTGGGAAAGCCGCCAGGGAGAAGAAACAGTACAGTAGCAGCAGCAGCAGTTAAAACATACAAGGCATTTACATGCAGTCCCCATTCTAAGCACCTCTCATACTCAGTCCTTACAACATCCCTAGTAAATACAATATTCTCACCCTAAGAAAGAAAACACTGTGGGGCCAGCAGCTGGCATGGTGGCTAAAGCACTGGATTCCCACACAGCTGACGAAGGTTAGAGTCCCAGACCTGGTGGTTTGCTTTCTCACTTTCCCTCTCTCTGGTCAAATTAAAAAAATAATAATGATGAATAAAATAAATAATTGCTTAAAAAAAAAAAAGATGAAAAAGCTGAAACAGAGAGGTTAAATAAGCTGCCCAAGGGCCAGAAATGGTGCAGTGGTTAAGGTAGGTGGATCCTACACCGCCAACTGAGCAGTTTGTCTTGACCTGGCAGGTTAAAAAACACACAGAGCATTTTGTGCATGCATGCCCAAAATCCTGAGAGGAAACTGCAGAAGGTAGTACAGCATGGCTATCTCTCCTGGGGGGGGCGGTTCTCACCTGACCCTTCCACCCGGTGAGAGCATGTATCCTATTGCAAAATTACAGAAAGAAAAAAAATCTGCCCCAAATCCTCCAGTTAACTAGATACTAAAATCTCAGAGCTGAGATTCAAGGCCAGGGAGTTATGGTTCCAGTCTCCACTCCTATCTTCCATCCCAATCTGCAAAGAGAGGTGTGAAAATCCCACGTGCTGCGCAGGGAACAGAAGGCTGCTCAGTTGTAGACAGCCAAGAACAAGGTTGTTTCAAGAATCAAGTGAGAAAACTTAGCGTCCAGTGGGCAGCCCTTCCTGTTGATGTAACGGGCACAAAGGCATGCATTTCAGAGCCTCGTGACCCACCTATGTTATAGCAGCCATGCCCCAGTTCCTCCAGTGGGAGCTGGCTGGGGGTGTGTATGGGATTACAGTGCCTCTGAGATATATGCTAGGGCTCCCTCCTCACCTAGAAAATTGTACATATGCATGGACACATCGCATGGCCTACATAATACTAGGGTGACCACAGTGCCCCCAGGGCAGAGCCAGAGTGAGTCCATTTTGCATGCTAATCTGCCATGCTAGCCACCGTGCTGCCCCACTAAGCTGGGCTGCATCCAGTACTGGTCAGACCCATTCCTGGATCTTGGTCTGGTAGATATATGAGAAGCACTTTGAGGCAGGAAGTTCCTAATAAGCAATCACAACATGAACCCCAGCGTACTACCACAACCCACAATCTGCACACGATACGCAGAGCCTGCCTGTGAGTGCAGTGAACCGCCCCATGTCGAGTGGTGATCTACTTGTCTTAATGCTGTTCAAGACAATGCTGCATGTAAGTTCCCAAATAAACCTTGCTGCCAACAAACTGGATTCATCTGCCTCACGTTTTCAGCTCCTTTGGCATTCAAAGCTTTTTCCCCAAAAAAAGTCATTTTCCTACATGGTCCTGTCTCAGAACCTAAACTAAGGGGGTCAGCAGAAGGAATAGTAGTTACATTACTGGACTCCCACATGGCTGACAGTGGTTCAAGTCCTGGGCCCAGTGGCTTAAAACACACCGGGCACATGTGCATGCATATCCAAGATCCCAGGAGAACAGAAAAAGGATTGCAGGGTGGCCATTCCCCCTTGAAGTGAGTTCTTACTTTCCCTCTCACTCTCTCTCTCTCTCCCCCCAGTGAGTACATGCACTTGAAGGTAAAAACCTCTAAAAAAAAAAAATCTAAAAAAATAACAGAACCTAAACTAGGGCCAGCTGGTGGTGTAGTAGCTGAAGTTGCTGGATCCCACATGACCCACTGAGCAGCTCAAGTCAGACCCAAGCCAGTGGCTTACAATACTCACTAGCCAAGTATGCATACATGCCTAAAATCCTGAGAGAAGGAAGAAATGGAGAAGGGATTGCACTGTGAACATCTCCCATGGGAGGGTGCTCTCTCACTTTCTTTCTTTCACTAATTACACGCGACCTCTGGAATTTTGAATCAGAATCCAAACTAGAAAAAAAAGCTATAGGGTCATTAGGAAAGTCATGACACATTTTTACATAGAAAAAATTTTTTAAAAATACATGTCTTTCCTGATGACCTAATACATGCTCCAAGAGAGTCACAGAAGACTTATTTACAAACAGCTCCAACTCTGGTTATGTACAAAGGGCAAGTTTGATACCTACTTACCTGATCAAGTATTTGCATGCACTGAAAAGTTAACTGGCTCCTTTCCTGGATATTTCAGAGCTCTTACTAGCTATAAGGCATCTTGACGCTCCAAGGGAGGTATGGCATGCCTAAACTTACTTAACTACAGAGCACTGACTCAGCAAACCTAACTGGAAGTCTTCTGACCCCTCCAGGAAGCCCATTTCCTAGCTCCCCTTCCTAGCACAATTTCTTGTCTAGAGTGGCTATCTACTTGTATTGATTCCATCACTTGCTCCTTCCTCCCTCACATTCTCTTTACTTCTATCCTCTCCACTCAGGCTGCCAGCCTTAGCATTCCACTGGGATGGCCCATCAAGAGTATTAATGACCTCCATGGGCCATACCTAATGGTCACCCAACTTGACCACCACACTCACCTCCTTCCACTCTCCACTTAGTCCAGCCTTAAAACCTTCTCTCTCTACAATACTCCTCGCCTTTAAGCTCATCACACAGGCTAGTCTCATAACCTGAGCCTTGCCTGATCTCCCAATCTGCACTAGCCACACAACCCTATATGGCTCATCGGTTATCTTTTCTGTGCACTCACTGTCCACCAGCTGTGTCCCCTGACACTGGCTCTACCTCAACTCTTCCACTGCCAGTCAGCAAAATCTGCTTTGATTTAAGCCAGCCAGGGGCAGGTAATCTATTACCTACAACTAATCAGTGCTGATATGCTCCCAGCTCCTTCCCAGCAAGACAAGGCTGCCCTTCCCTGCATGTCTCCTTTCCTTCCAGGCTTGTGGAGAGGCAAAGGTCACGAGGAAGTAGCAGCACCAGCAACCTGAGGACCTGGAAACACAAGGTGAAGGCCTACAGGGACATGGTAGATTTCTGACAAATGGCTCATAGATTATATTTATCTTTTGTTTGTTTGCATTTTTGCAGTGTAATAAAAAAATTTAAAAAAGGAAAAAAAAAGAACTGTTGAGAAAGGAAAGGAACAATGGGCCTCCTGGTGGCCCCATGCCCCACTGTGTGGTCCTTCTCCTCGCCCTTCCCAGCTCAGGGTGTTCCTGGGACAAACAGACACAAGAGAGTTTAATGTTTATCATTTTCTTTTTTTAATGAAACTAGATCACTGCTTACAAAAACCTGCACGAGCCCACCTGCCCATTCCCTTCACAGTTCCCTTGGCTCGGCTTCTCCCATCTCACAGAAACTGAAACAAAGTGGGTAGAGAACAGTCGCCACCATCGCCTCCATGAATAACACGAAAGGAGAAACCCTGGGCTCTGACCCGGAGCCTTCACAGGGTGACAGTTCTTGCTTCTTTCCATGTCTGTTCCCATGGGGCCTGGAGCCTGCATGGGTGAGGTTGGTCCAAGCAGCCATGGCTCTCAGGCCACAACCAGGCCAGAGTGAAATGATGTGAATGTCCCACCCCATAAACACCCCCCTCCCCCCAGTAGCTTCCCTTCCGCCCCCCGCCTAAATCTACCCCCATACTGCGATCCCGCC